TAATATTATATGGTTGGACGACTAAAGAAAATGTTAGGAAGACAGTTGAAACCAATATGTTTCAAAGTAAGCGATCTTAAGTGTCAGAGTTTTGAACTTAGAAAATTATAAAAAGTTCCAATAGATTGCTTGAAAAAAGAGTGTGTGTTTATTAGTAGAGTTTAGAGGATGGGGCAGGAGTTACTATATAATTAATATTATATGTTGGCACTAAAGAAAATGTTAGGAAGACGGTTGAAACCGATCTGTTTCAAAGTAAGATGTTAGACATTAAACGACGTTTAAGTAACACAACTGCATAGTCACTTTTACCCCACCCAAAAGTTATATAGATGGCATTTACCCATTATGAAGGAAAATACACTTTCCGAAAGTGTTTGTGTTTCTTTTATGTTAATCCTGCATGTTTTTGAATTTCAATAACATGTATCACTGTATGTGTGTTAGTGTTTTATGTAGGCAAACCAGTAGCCTTGGTGTTGTAATTTTAACACATCAGTTATATAAGCCATGAAGTATCTATCACCAGCTAATCTTGTGAAAGTTGTGAACAAAAGCCATTACTGTTTAACTAAAGCATTGAGTAGCAGGATGGTACAACATTACTGTTTAACTAAAGCATTGAGTAGCAGGATGGTACAACATTACTGTTTAACTAAAGCATTGAGTAGCAGGATGGTACAACATTATTGTTTAACTAAAGCACTGAGTAGCAGGATAGTACAACATTACTGTTTATCTAAAGCATTGAGTAGCAGGATGGTACAACATTATTGTTTAACTAAAGCACTGAGTAGCAGGATAGTACAACATTACTGTTTAACTAAAGTGTTGAGTAGCAGGATGGTACAACATTATTGTTTAACTAAAGCATTGAGTAGCAGGATAGTACAACATTACTGTTTAACTAAAGCACTGAGTAGCAGGATAGTACAACATTACTGTTTAACTAAAGTGTTGAGTAGCAGGATGGTACAACATTATTGTTTAACTAAAGCATTGAGTAGCAGGATAGTACAACATTACTGTTTAACTAAAGAGTTGAGTAGCAGGATAGTACAACATTACTGTTTAACTAAAGCATTGAGTAGCAGGATAGTACAACATTACTGTTTAACTAAAGTGTTGAGTAGCAGGATAGTACAACATTACTGTTTAACTAAAGCGTTGAGTAGCAGGATGGTACAACATTACTGTTTAATTAAAGCGTTGAGTAGCAGGATAGTACAACATTACTGTTTAACTAAAGCATTGAGTAGCAGGATAGTACAACATTACTGTTTAACTAAAGCGTTGAGTAGCAGGATAGTACAACAAAAAACGAATTATCATGAAGATAATTAATGATAATAAATGACATATTAAATGAATAATAAAACTGTATAATGAATATTGTTACTGTAATTAGAATATAACCACATATCATTAAAAAAAGAAATATTTTAAAACCTACTGTCTAACCTGACTACTATAACATTAACTAACCTATCACTTTACAGTGGGTAGCTGGACATAGTAAATATAGTTAAGCCCCCAAAAACATAAGTGATAAGATTCAAGAATACTTACAGTAGTAATAAAACTTAGAAAATGAAGTAATAGCAATGGCAAATATGACAAAATCATTAGTAGAAACTAATGTGACTCTGCTAATGATTTAGGTTATACTAGGTATGGAGGTGTTGTACTACAGACATAGCAAGATCCTAAACTAATGGTAGGAAAAGCTGATGTCAAATATGACAAAATTATTAGTAGAAACTAATGTGACTCTGCTAATGATTTAGGTTATACTAGGTATGGAGGTGTTGTACTACAGACATAGCAAGATCCTAAACTAATGGTGTTCACCATACTGCAGTCATTCATTATTATGTTAATTTTTTTTAACCATTCCTTATTTGGGTAACATAATTATTTACAGTAGAATGAAAATAACTTAATGACTTTGAAATGCAAGTTTTGTTTCTGAATGATAAAATACACAAGTATTTGACCTTCCATAAGCTTCCTTTGTACTTTATGTCGTCAGTGTTTTTTGTTTCACTAAACACTAACATTTACAGTCCTCCAGTGTTATTTGTGTATATTGACTTCCAATATTTTACACTGTTTACTAAACGGAAAATAGTGGAGTTAAAATGTGTTTTTATAATTCTCCTTGCAATAATGGAAACAAACTTAATTCCTAAAAGTCTTTTATAGAAATGAAATTGATTTGGTATCTCCATCACGTCTTCACTGTGAAAGTCCTGCTTTTGTTATAGTGGAAGATGTTTTTCAGATATCCCCATTCTTCCAACCGTCACAGCTCGCATCACATTCCAAGATTTTCAGTTCAGAAATGAGGTACCAGATTCCCTATTTGAGATCCCATCCAATTACCAGGAAGATCCTGGTCGTTTTCCAGACTTATGATGATTGGCAGGCTTAATCCTTTTGTCAGTGGAGACAACCTATGTGGCCGTCCTTCTTCCATCAGCCACTAATTCGCGGGTCTTCCTCCACATCAGGCCAACTCCTGCAGCTAGTCCTAGACCTGTCTGTTCACCTATGATTGTGGCAGTGTCAAACCTTCAAGTCTGTCACTGTTTTTAGATAGTAGTTATCATCAAGTTGTATAGTTTTTGTACAAAATGTTTTATTGCATAATATTTTATGATTTCATGATTAATATTTATTGAGTTATTTCTAGTTACTGAGATGTACAAGACACTCAGTTGTTCTATATGTTGAACAAGCTTCAAATATAAAAAATTTAACACTGGCACCATACAAATATTTTGGACTACCCATTTCTAGAAAAGTTTTGATGAATGATATGCTTATTCTCCTCAACAAACAAGAATTTGATTTACAAAGTTCATATTGTGTTATTGCAGCAAAAGTGTATTTGTACTTTGGTTTAATGATGAATGAAGAAGATCTTATATTCAATGAAATTTTAATTTTTTTAAATTGTTGCTGTTACACACACACACACATCTATGAGATGATTGGTTTAGCTTCATCTCAACCTGAATTCTAAAGGCCTTGTTTTATATAACGTCTTCTAATTATTGTACAGAACCCGAGGTTGTAAGTTTGGAAAATACAATTATCTGGTTGTTAATCTACTCTTGTAAATGTAGCTGTAGTGAAAAATTATACCAGGAAAAGTTTTTAATAAATTATGAAATACTTCCTAAATACTATTAATAAAGAAGTTTAACTAGTCGTAGATTTTTTTTTAAATAAAGTTTTACATTTTTATAGTTTCTAAAGGTATACTATATTAACACTGAAGTTATCTTCATTAAGTCTTGTTCCTTGTGGAATTACTCTTTCTACGTAAGGTAGAAACTGATGATTACAAGATGATGTCAACTTAACCTGTTAGTATTTTCTAGTAAATACAGCCATCTGATAAGCTGCTCGCATGTGTATTCTAATGTATTGAAAGTGATATTGAAGAAACATCTTATTTCAAAGATTTTATGAGCAGATAAATTAAACCCCTATGTATCATAAGAGCAGTTTCTAAATTTATTTATTTTTTCCCCATGGTTTTGTTAAGAATAATTGTAATCTTTTAGCTATAATTTTAACATACAATAGTGACTGTCTTGTTCTCAGTTAAATGATAAAATAAGTTATTGATGTGTTTATCTTTTGTTTGCTGTTTTCTGGTGTACATGTGTTCATATGATTCAAGTATTGAAAATATCATCTTGAAAAAAAGTTTTCTTTGTTAATGAAGACTTCATAAGAAATTGTAAGGTTGTTGAGCTGATTTTGTGTGTTTTTTTTATTTCATCAAAACATTTCATATGTAAGGTTTTTGGGTACTGTGTAATTTTTATTACCTGTAAGATAATTCATGAAGATAAAAGATGTGGGAAGTTGAATAAAAATTTTTGGATGTAATCAATATTGTATATAGTACTAAATAGTTTAATTATTATAAGAATAATCATATCATATAAGCTAATCAAGTGTTGAAAGCAAATCGTTTGTTTTTAATCAGTGTAAGATAGGTTTCAAGTCAGGTGACCATTCTTTCTGTAGGAAGATATTACCAGATCATATCATATAAGCCAATCAAGTGTTGAAAGCAAATCGTTTGTTTTTAATCAGTGTAAGATAGGTTTCAAGTCAGGTGACCATTCTTTCTGTAGGAAGATATTACCAGATCATATCATATAAGCCAATCAAGTGTTGAAAGCAAATCGTTTGTTTTTAATCAGTGGAAGAGAGGCTTCAAGTCAGGTGGCCATTCTTT